CGCCTGGAGGTGGAGGACCCAGTCCGCCATGGAGAAGGACCCCGATCTGAGCATCAAGAGCTTGGCGTCATCCACCCCTTGGAACGCCATCACATACGCGCGGGTCTGCCCGACGTACACTTTACCTCCGTACGCCCACCCGCCGCAGATGCAATCATCCTCTAGCGGAAGCTCCTGCCAACGTTGTGCTTTGATATTGACCGTATCCGGTAGCCGCGCCTGGGTGACAATAGCAGGGGTCTCCTCGAGGATCACGACGACGTATGTCGTGTATTTATAACCCACAGCGGCCTGATTCGAACTCTCATGCGAGACGGTGAGAGAGCTTAGATCGGATAACTCGCCGTGCGCGTCGATAATGACGTGGCGTTCCCGGGCGCCCTCGCCGGACGATGATGCGAGTGACGGTAGCCTGCTCAAGGCGCTAGTCCGTGCGGTGAGTGCTGAAAGCTGGCTCGAGCCGTCCAAAGCGGTGCTAGTCTGTGAGGTGAGGGCGGAAAGCTGGCTCGAGTCGTCCGAAGTCGTGCTAATCTGTGAGGCCGACGATGCCCCCGTAGGCTCCTCGGGCTCCGCAGCAGGCATCCGCAAGCTCCCCTCGTGGTTAGGCCCACGGAGCATCATTTTTGCCGTCTGTTGCACCGGTGAGTGGGCTTCATGAAATAGGGCCATTCAACATACCTTCAGTAACACGTGCTCCTTCTTCTCGAAGTGAGCGTTCTCCACAACCAGCAGCTCGAAGTCGTTGTGATTCGTGCTCGGCCCAGGCGGTCTAAAGAGGAGGTTGACGGTGATGTCCGGCACCATCAACCGTTCGAATGATACCTCCATCTTGCCCGGAATCTGCTCGAGGTGACGGTGGTCGAGGGGGAAGAGTTGCAACCACGGTTGGATCACTGGCCTCACCACCACTTTGTCAATCATGGGAGAGATGATTTGATGAAGGGTACCGGGGGCCCCTGAGGTGATAGTGTGCTTGGGCATATCGTAGTCGAACCTATGTACCGGATGAGGGGATCACTACACGTCAGTATTACCGACGCATTCAATAGACCTACCAGAAATGCCGGACAATGAAGGGGTGTTGGATTAGGAACGATCGCAGCTGCTTCCACTCCTCCAGAGAAAGACTGGTCTCCTATCGTTGAGAAGACCAAGTGAGTACACGGCCGCTTCATGGCAATCGATATCCTCACCTGTACGGCGCGGTGGACGTTTGGAAAGTCCGGGTCCTCCAGCGATTCACCGAAAACACGTTGGGCGGCGGGCCACTTGCGCAACACCTCGATATATTCTTCGTCTTCACTCGACGTATCTACGCCCTCCGAAGTGAAGTCCGAGAGTGGCGGTGCTGTGCGACGGTAAGTTGATGGTGAGCCGAGAGACTTTGAGAACTCACTCTCGCTCGAATCGCTGACCCCGCTGTCCCTCGATGCACGAGGCGATGCGGTATAGCAGTGGGACTTCCCCCCGACTTCAAACTGATCTGTGGAGATCTGTGAGTTGGGGGAGCCGATATGCACGACGGGACTCTCGTCCCGAGGGCTGAGCCCGTTGTACGCCAGAGCGTACGAGTAGACACTCTGAGAAGGAACCTGCATGACTCAGGGGAGGCAGCGCCGTAAGGCAAAGGGACCCCGACATAGTTATGTAACGGTCCGTCCGGTAGTCAAGTGACCCGGTTACAGCCGGCGGTCGGACCTTGCTGTGATAAGTACCACCCGGTGCAACTATGCCACACTTGCCCCGTTGCCCATTGGAAGCTTGAGTGCAGAACACAATACCGGTTATTTCCAAGAATGGAGTAACCCTCACACCCGGAGAGCCACCAGCAGACACCCGAAACGTAGGTTGTGGAAAGTGAACGAGAAAGAATATACGGGCCCAACTCGAAGAGCAAGTGAGAGGCCGAGGCGCCGAGATTGTCCCTTGGCAGATGTGCACATACATAGCTGCTTCGCCGTAGGGTAGAGGCCAGACCCCCACGGCACTAGGACATATTTGGATCGCGCGGTGATTCCGCGCGATCCAAATGGGGAGTGATCCAAATGGGGAATGTGGCCAATAATAGAACGCGTGTGGGGATGAGAGCCGAAACGTGCTCGGGAATGCGCATGAATCGGACCCAACACCGCCAATGGACCGACGCAGTGAAGGAAGACGGTATAGTTATGGATGTATGCTTCACACAAAACGGACGGTAAACGGCTATTAAACTCACCGCAAATTCAATGATGTTAGTATGAACAGGTCTAGATGCCGCAGTGAAGTTGAGGGCAGATCTCCACTTGCAACGCCTTTCAAGTTGGGATAGGACGATGTCGAACAACGGAACACAGATCATGAATGAAAGGCTCAGTATAGTGCATATGCGCCCGTGGCACCAAAAGTGAACGTACTTGAATGTATGATTCTCAGTTTCGGCGTACGTGGGACTCGCGAACTTAGCAGCAAGGAGCGAAGAAGGAGGCGCTGGAGGGCTGCCTTGACGAGCGCTGCCTGTCAAGCTCCGCTGGGACCCTTGTCCAAGTGCGGATGGAGCCCAAGGAACCTAATATGTAATATCAACACTGTCGCGCTCATCTCTCCCTCTCCCAAAATCTCTGCAGTATTGTACGGCGCAATTACTCTTGAGAGCCGCGGAGCAGTGATCAGTTCAATTTCTCTTCACTGTTGACAGCCCGCCGGTGAGTAATTCAATCTCTCGGACGTTTAATAGTCTTGAACTACGCACCAGGCATGCCAAAAAAGCGGTTGTTCTCTTTCGCCGATTTGTTGGGCCCGACATGCGATGCGTGCCACCGACCTTTTGATACTATGCAGGGCCTGATGTCGCATCAGACTACCAGCCGCACTTGTGCCTGGTACAAAAAGGGCAAACTGAGGGCAACTTACCATGACGAGGACCGTGAAGTTCTGTCTGACGCGTCTGAGTCTGAGGACTCGGTTGTCCAAGACGCCTCCAGGTGAGCCATTTTGTAGTGTCCATACACATCAGAACTGACGTTATAGAAGGTCTTCTACACCAGAACAGCAGCATATATACGGCCTACATGGTCAGGAAGACGTACGAGACATGCAAGGTGGGCTATTCAATAAGTTGGTATATCGGTCAGCGTATATAACGCTTCTCTAGATTTCAGTCATGACGAGCTGTCCGGTGAAGAAAGCGAGGAAAGGGAGGAAGACGACGAAGACGAACAATACGACGTGTTATACCATTTCATTCCCATTGCTGGTCCCAGCCGGGCGACCGCATCGACATCGTCCGCCCCGTCAACATCCTCGCCGTCAACACCAAAACGGCGTACAGCCGTTTCACTGGATGATAACGAAGACGAACGTGTTGAGGATGTGAACAGGATTGCCGGGAAAGTTAAGGGTGAAGGAGAGACTGTCAGGGAGACATGGAGAAAACATTTCTCCGGTCAGAGGGATGGAACCGGTGAGTGTATCTTTGTGTAGATCATGAAGTACGTCAACCTGAGAAAAATTGAAGATGTGCAAGACAGCTCTTCGGCGAGTGCAGTATGGGAGCCATTCAGCGGGGAGACGGACTGGGAACTAGCCAAGTGGTTCATCAAGGAGGGGATAGGACAAGGAGCAGTAGATAGATTTCTGCGCATACCACAAGTGAGCAACATACATCTAGGACCCTGAAATATCATCTGACGTGCACATCAGGTTAGAGACAAGCTAGGACTCTCGTACCACAACAATAGAGCCTTGTTGCAGAAAGTTGACGCCATTCCAGAGAGGGCGGGCTGGCAGGAACGCTGGCTCTCATTCAAGGATCGGCCGGGTGAGACGCACCTAGTTCAATTCCGCGACATTATACAGGCCATCAAGGCATTGCTCGGCAACCCAGCTCATGCCGACCGTATTGTTTACCGGCCCAGTCGAATTTTCTCCAACTCTACGCGTAAGAACAGGATCTATACAGAAATGTGGACCGGGAGATGGTGGAACGCGGTTCAGGTAAGTATTTCTCGTTACCATCATCTCACTTTACTAAGTATGTTACCAATATTCAGAGCCTCCTACCCAGTGGAGCCGCCGTCGCACCGGTGATTCTAGCAACTGATAAGACCCAACTCACCCAATTTTCTGGCAACAAGGCCGCATACCCTGTGTACATGACTCTTGGCAACATACCTAAAGAGTTACGCCGTAAGCCGTCCGAACATGCATGCATTCTCATCGGTTACCTGTCCGTTGACAAGGTCGACTCTACCGGCATTACCGAGAGGAAGCAGAGGGCGCTGGTCCAGCAGTTATTCCACGCGTCCATCCGGATGATCGTGGAGCCTCTCATCCAAGCTGGCAAGGAGGGTGTTGACATGACAGGGGGCGATGGAAAAATCCGGCGAGTCCATCCGATCTTAGCGTCGTATGTTGCGGACTATCCGGAACAATGCTTGGTGGGGTGCGCCAAGTACGGCACATGCCCTGTGTGTCAGTGCCCTGACACCGGGCTCGAGGATGCTGCTGCACGTTTACCACGCACGCAAATGTGGACGCTCGACGTACTCCGTAAAGCCAGGGCGAAGGGAAACAGAGAATCAGCCGCCTTCTCCGCTACCTGCAAGGAGTTTAATGTCTCGGGTTACGCCATCAATCCTTTCTGGAAAGACTTACCATACACTGACATTCACTCATGCATCACTCCGGACGTGCTGCACCAGCTCTATCAGGGTGTTTTCAAGCACATCCTGGAGTGGTGCAGTGAGATCATGGACCCGAAGGAGCTCGACCGACGCATACGCACCCTTCCACCGGCGTACGGCACACGTCACTTCAAGAACGGAATTTCCGCGCTGTCCCAGGTCTCCGGCGGCGAACGCAAGGACATAGCTCGAGTCCTTCTGGGGTGTTTGGTCGGACGGGTCCCCAAGGCGGTAATGCTCACCTTCCGATCATTACTGGACTTCATCTACTTATCTCAGTACCCAACTCATGACGACGCAACGCTAGTGTACATGGAAGACTCACTCAAAGTTTTCCATCGGAACAAGCATATATTGAAGGACCTTGGAGTACGTGAACACATGAACATACCCAAAATCCACTCACTGCTGCACTACGTCGAATCAATCCGGAACCTCGGGACCACCGACAACTTCAACACGGAGATGTTCGAAAGGCTCCACA